TATGTGTAGTATATGTGCATATATGTGTTTGTACGTATTGTGAGAATGTGGAATAAGTGTGCTCATGAGTAGAGGTCAGAGGTCAAACTTTGGGTGTAGATGCTCACCTTCCACCTTGAGGCTTCTGGGAATTCTCCTGTCTCCACCTCCCATTTTGCCTTAGGCATGCTGGCATTAACAGACCTGGACCTGGCTTTGTCTCCCGCCTTCACAATTACACGGCAAGAACTTTACCCACTGAGCAATTTCAGAGATTGGGTTGTTTTGTTTTGGTTGTTGGTTTTGTTTTTTAGTTTTTGTTTTTCAAGACAGGGTTCTCTGTGTAGCCTTGGCTGTCCTAGACTGTGTAGACCAGGCTGGCTTCGAACTCACAGAGATCCGCCTCTGCCTCCCAAATGCTGGGATTTCAGGTGTGTACCACTGTGCCCAGCTAGACTGGGTCAGAGCAGAAATGCACCTCTTAGAATTCTGGAGACTGTGTATCTCCTCTGACATCAGGACAGTGGCACTCATGTATGGAGACGGTTCCTCTCTGCTTCAGAAATGGTACCACGGGGTGTTGCTGTAACTCAGTGTTTAGAACACTTGCCTAGCATACACCAAGCCCTGGGTTCAATCCCCTGCACTGAGTGTAAACTAGGGATGAAGGCACACACCTATAACCCCAACACTCAGGAGATCGAGGCAAGATGACCAGAAATTCAAGGCCATCCTCAGCTCTAGTTTCTGGAAATGTCAGTCCATGGTAGTGGAGAAAGCACAGCAGCACAGCCCCGTCCATGACAGGAGAGCAAGAAAGAGTGGCTGTTCACATTCTGTCAGACCAGGAAGCAGAGAGGGCGGCTGGAGCTATAACCTTCAAAACTTGCCCCTTAGACCTGCCTCTACCACCTCCAGCCGGGGTACAGTGCTCAAAAAAGGACCCCATGGGGATATTTCATATTTCCTAACCATGATGGAGAGCAAACATTGGGCTCTGTCAGCTTCCCCAGCCTTTTTGGTGGACACGGGTCCATCCATGAGGGTGAAACCTCCAAGGATTTACTCATAGTCCCTAGGCTCTACGCCCTAACATCACCATGGCTGGGATTAAGCCTCGGCAAATCGATTTTGGAGAAGGCATGTTGAACCCATTGCAGACAGGAGACAAGGTTTGGGGGTGAGTTTTTCTACTTTTAAACAGCACCCATCCCGTGAGGCCCAGCAGAACGTGGGTAGGTCTATATGCTCAGAGGCCCTGGACCTCTCACTGGGGAAGAGCTCTGGTTGGCCTGTTGAAATTATCTAAGACGGCTGCTCTTTGAAAGCAGCACCAGCTAAGAACTGCTATTCCTCTCAGTGTCCCAAGCCTGGGAGGCCTAGAGGGCTCTCTCTGCCCACGTGTCTGTGACCCTCGTTTGCTCTGAGCACGCTGACTGCTCACCTTTGCAAGCGCTGCCTCGGGAATGGATCACTGAGGTGAGAACCATGTCACCCAGGAAGGCCAGAGAAAAACGCCTCCTGTGAACTGCGCTGACTGGCAGACTTCTCCTGCCTTGAAAGTCACCCCGAGTGGACGTGATCAAAGCATCTACAAGCTTCCCTGCTGCTCCAAGTAATTGCTTTTAACATATTCAAAGATAGTTGAAGAGGTTAAGTTTTTTGTTTAACAAGAAAAGCTGGTCTGCACTCTAATCTGTTGTATTACACTATGCCGAGCGGAGAATGCTTTCTTTTAAATGTCTGTGGAGCTTTTCACTACGGATCTTCAGGGTAATTCAAAAACATGAATTAAGTAACTGCCAACTGCTGTGTGATCCAGGACGGGAAACACAATCTACGGAGAGGAACTTAGGAAGCAGAGAAGCTGGTCTATGGCCTCTGGTGACGTGTCCTGCACATGGGATAGCAAAGCCTGGCTAGGGCAGTCACTCCCAGCACTGCCAGAGTGACTCTGCAGGCGTCAACTTGAAATGGTTGCTTCTCAACTCCCACTCAGACTCCCAGCAGAATGGGGCTTTCAAAGGGAAAGTCACTGAGTGAATAACCCCAGTGGGAGAGGGACAAATGAGGCCTTGCTGACCCTAGGGCTGAGTTCACTGCGGACTTTGTTGTGGACCTAGCCCAGGCACCCTGTCCCTGCATCAAAAATGAGAGCTGGTGAGCTTGCTGAGGGAGGATTGGGGTGGCTGTGGCATTCTCTGGCTTCCAAACACCAGCCTCCACATAACTCTGACTTCCCTTCCCTCCATTCCTCCAGAAGACTAACAAAGCAAGAAGATAACTTTCTGTGAAAGATATGAACTTTGTTCATTACAATGCTAGCTCAAGCTGATTAAACTCATGGCTGGGGTGTAGCTCACCTACCATGTACAGGGGTCGGCTTCAGTCCTCAGCACTCCCTAAAGAAAAAAAACATGGTGCATCTAGCACACAATGGAATGCCTCACTCACATCTGATCCAGAGAAAAAGATAAGAAGTAAGCAGAGCCATAGCCCTTGTCTTGAGGGTTCAACAGCCGTGGCTATCAGTGACCACAGACAATATCAAACCCTATACACACTGGTTTTTCTCTAACATACATGAGAAACTCTAATTCGTAAATTAGACACAATAAGAGGTTAATAGCAGCTGGCTGGAGGTGGATCTCTGTGAATTTGAGGCCAGCCTGGTCTACAAAGTGAGTTCCAGGACAGCCAAGGCTATCCAGAGAAATCCTGTCTCAAAAAAACAAAAGAGAGAGAGTTTAATAACTATAATAAAACAGAATTATTTAAATATATACACCATGGTGATTCTGAAGATGTAGCACAGCTGATAGCGGGCTTGCCCTGGGCTTCATCCTCTGCCCTATATAACCAGCGTGGTGGCACATGCTCGAATCCCAGCACTGGGGAGGTAGAGTTAGGAGGTGAAGGAACCTGGGCCTGTGAGTTGGTTCAGTGGGTAAAATGCTTGTCCCACAAGCCTGACAACCTGAGTTTGGTCCCTGAGAGGAAGAACCAGATTCCTACAAAGAGAAGATCAGTTCTACAAAGCTATTCCCCACATGCCCAGCCCTACACACATATCACGCACATACAAAGTAATGATACATAAAAATAAAAAAGCATTCAAGGTGATATTTGGCTACATAATATGTCTGAGGCCAGGCTGGGCTACAGGAGACCTTGTCTCAAAGAAACAATAGGTAATAAAAATCTGGACTTTTGTTGAGCGTTGGTAGGGTGCTATGTAGTCAGGGTTAAGTTACTGCCCTTCAAGATCTGATTGCAGCCCAGACAGGTACGTTCTCACATGCATCAAGTGATGCTGTGTAAGCTTTACTCACCGGTACTCTCTGATTGGTTGAGCAAAGTCGCTGACAGCCTATAGCTGGGCAGAAGAGAAAGCAGAGGGGCTGGTCTGTGGCCTCTGGTGACGCGTCCTGCACACGGGATGGAAAAGCGTGGCCGGGGAGTCACTCCGAGCACTGCCAAAGTGACTTTGCAGGCGTCAACTTGAAATGGCTGCTTCTCAACTCAGACCCAGACCCTCAGTAGAATGCTAAGGCAGAGCTTAGGTTCCTGGGCTTGGGGTCAGATAGGGACCACAAGGCAGGAGATAGAAGGAGGAGAGGAAGCTGGAGAGAAGAAAGTGGCCATAGGGCAGGATGACCATGAGCACCTGGCCATGAGCTGGCCTCATGGGACATAAGCAGCGCAGGCAGAGACAAGTACGGCAAGTCACTTGGGGTGTGTAGCTGGGAAATCAAAATAGCTTAGAAGGCTGAGAAGTCTAAAAATTGTCGGTCTCAATGATTTGGGAACTGGCTGGGGTAGAGAAGCCCTCTCGAGTCTAATAACCGTTTCACAACATACTTTGTAGTTGTTATTAAATAGGATGAGGGTAACTTAAGCCTAAGTATGTGCCGGCGGCACAGTCAATCTGCTGCGCACGTGATGCAGCACTAAGTGATTAAGGGGCAGGTATTGTGTAGCGCACGGACACGCTAGATCCAAGGATGGCTAAGCCCATATGGGAGAGTCTGAAACTCCATCGTGCCACCCAGAATGGTGTGCAATGTAAAACTTACAAATTATTAGCTTCTGGAATGTTCCATGTGATATTTTCTGGCCAGAGTTGAGCAGAGGTAACAGAAACCATGGATAAATGGGGAGGCTATTGGCAAAGCCAAATCTAGAGGCAGCATGGGAGAGGCAGGGTTCTGAGTGCTGTGAAAACCCCCAAAACGATGGAGGGCACACTGAGCAAAGGCGCATGCCCAGAGACGTGCGCTGAGTCTAGAGACAGCAGCGTGTGCTGTTTGAGACAGAGGGCGCAGATGCAGAGCCCCTCCGATGAGCTCCTTATCTTATGCCCCCCAGAGCCAAGCCACAACCATACGGCGCCGCCCTCACTGGGGGAGCACAGCTAGCTGGTCACAGGTGGTCCATAGCTGTCAACCAGGAAGGCCCGGGGTGATCGTGTCCGGAAGCCAGCCGGGAAGAGTTCCAGCTCTTCCTATCTCTTCTGTAAACAGTAGGTGCAGAGCCACCGAATGCCCATTCTTCCAGCTCAGTGGCCAAGGGGTGCTCAGTGTTGCAAAGTGTTCCTGAGCCTCACAGGGAGGGACAGAAGCCAATGAGATGGCAGGGTGAGGGGGAAGGGGGGAGAGAGAGGGAGGGAAGAGGAGAGGGAGAGAGAGCAGCACAAAACTCACAGTGAGGGACTAACCAATGAAAGCAGGGGAGCCCCCTCCGGAACCCTAAACTCAGGTTCTCTTGCAGTTTTGGGGTTGGATGGGGTGTCACCTGGAGGAAGGTACAGCCACCCTCCTCCTCAGGGCCAGCTGTATCCGGTTTTCCTGTCTCCAGACAACCCACCCCATGACCAGCCCTCCCCTCCCCGTGTGTGTGTGTGTGTGTGTGTGTGTGTGTGTGTGTGTGTGTGTGTGTTTTACTCATTCTGGCAAAGAGATAATCAGATTCTCCTAGGAGACCAGTGACAAAGAGCAGAGAGAAGGAACCAGCAGCTCCCGGGAAAGTTCCTCACCTGGTGGTGCAGGCCCCAAGTCCATTCTGAAGAACGGCTCAGGCTGCTCACTGGCTCCTCTCTGCTAAACAACCTTTGCCAGGGGTCACTGGGAGTTACCCTCTTGGAAGCCAGCAGCTCCCCTGGCCATGACTTTGTTTCCTTCCCAGATTATTGATAGATTCGTAGATGGTTCTGGGAGTTTCCTGAAAACTGAAATTTGGACGGAAGAAGAAACTGTTCTGAGCAGCTGGCAGACTACACAGTCCGAGGGAAGATGGTGGCACGTCTGGCCATGGCGATGGGCATACATTGAGCCGGGCACAAGGAGGCCATCTTGTCATGGTAGTGGGGTGCGTTTGTGTGAATCTGTGTTTGTGTGGTAGTGGGAGGTGTAGATCTGTGTGTCTGTGTATATCTGTGTGTTTATGTCTGCTTGTAGTGAGGTGTGTGTGCCAGTGTGGGGAACTGGGGTCTCTGGGTCTCTGGGTCTATCTCTTCGTGTGGCTGCTACTCTATTAAAGTATAGCCATTCTACCATCAAGGTAGGGTACATGGAGATATGTGTGGCTGTGTTGAGAACAGAATGGGACAGAAGTCGAAGCTTGGATTGTGTTGATTTTTAAAAGCTTATTTTATGTTTATGGGTGCTCTGTCATGCGCATGTTTATGTGCATGCAGTACCCACAACGGCCAAAAGAGGGTGTTGGGTCCCTGCTTGTGAGCTACTGTATGGGTTCTAGAAATCAAAGCCTGGTCCTCCGGAAGAGCTAATGCTCTTAACCTCTGAGCCATCTCTCCAGCCCCCAAACCTACATTTTAAAAAGTCAACAATGTATGGTCCACAGATGAGCCAGGACTTCGGGTAAACACAAATGTTAGATGTTTCTTTTCCTGATCCACACACTTGAAAACAATTTTTGTTGCTGTTATTTTGTTTGTTTGTTTGTTTTTGAGACAGAGTTTCTGTGTGTAGCCTTGGCTGTCTTGGAACTCACTCTGTTGACCAGGCTGGCCTCGAACTCGGAATCCACCTGCTTCTCAAGGGCTGGGATTGAAGGCGTGTGCCACCACTGCTCAGTGAAAACATTCTTCCATTTTAAGAATCTTTATTCTAGAAAATAGCAAGCCCACATAAAAATAGATAATAAAATGAATCTTGTTTTGTCATTATTCACCTTTCCCCAGCTGTTCTCTGTCTCCCCGATTCCTCCTCTTCAGTTTTCCTTATTTGCTGTGGATCTTAACAGCAAGCATCAGAAGCTACAGCCTTCCCCTTAGAACATAAGAACTGAAGTGTGACTGTCCAGGACAAACGCTGTTAGGACCTGATCTTTATTTCATGGTCAAATCCCCGGTTGTTTCAACACTCTATTGTGCGGTTGCTTTGTTCCAATTCATTAGAAATGAGGCTCAGAGGCTGTGTGTGTCAGCTCCTCTCCTCTGATGAGATTTTTCCCCCTCTAATTTTTCTTTCTTGATCTTGTAGGTTGAGGAGAGCCAGTGCATTTGTCCTGTGTAAAGTCCCCCGCTCTGGACTAAGCTGATTGCATCCATCCAGTGTCATGTGTCGTGTCTCTGGCCTCCAGACTTTCTGGGCCAGCGTCATGTAACCCTGCAGTTGCTGTGGCACACCAGCTAAAACCAGCTCGCAGGAGAAGAACATGTCCTGTGTGTAGGGATGTCAAGTAGGGGTCAGCCTGATTCCAGTTCTTGTAAATTTCCTCACCAACTTTATGGATAAAAGCAATTTTCAAACTCTAGTTCATCACCCATTTGTTAGTCACAAAACCGAGCTGATTGATTACGAGAGAGTGAGAGAGAGAGAGAACTAGACAGGTATAGAAGATAGTAAGAGGTGGGAGGGAGGACTGATAAGATAGCTCAGTAGGTACAGGGCCTGCTGGGTAAGCACGGGGCCTGCGTTTGGATCACAGAACCCACATGAAAACATAAAAATCTAGGCATGGCAATTCACGTCTGTAAACCCAGACTTGGGTGGGCAGACACAGGAGGCCCCTGAAGTTCATTGGCCAGCCAGTCCAGCTGAATTAGTGAAACTCAGTGAGCAACCCTGAGGTTGAGGAGGGGAGGAGGGCTCATGAGCCCCCACCCTTGACTGAGGCACCCTCGACAGTTGACGACTTCTGGGGGAGGGAGAGTCAGTTTTCTTTTTTCTTTTCTTCCTTTTTTTGTGGGTGTGTGTTGGGGGGTGAAGACAGGATTTTCTCTGTAGCTCTGGCTATCATGGAACTTGACCCGTAGATCAGACTGGCCTGCCTCTACCTTCCGAGTGCTGGGTTAAAGGCGTGTGCCACCACCTCCTGGCTTGAGGGAGAGAGTCATTTCTCTTTGAGGGTGTGGTGCCTGGCAGGCTGTTCATGCTCCAGGGGATGGCCCGCACCCATAAGTTTGTGGGGAGCACAATTGGGTTATTACAAATAAAAAGAAGAAAAGACATGAAGTTGGGGGAACAACGAGTAGGGTAGAATCTGAGAGGATTTAGGGGAAGAGCATGGGTGGATGTGACCAAAATACACTGACGCATGTATGAAAGTCTCAAAATAATTAATAAAAATACTGTATTAAAAGTAAAATAGGGCCGGGCGGTGGTGGCGCACACCTTTAATGCCAACACTCTGGAGGCAGAGGCAGGGAGATCTCTGAGTTCAAGGCCAGGCTGGTCTACAAAGTAAGTTCTAGGGTAGCCAGGGCTACACCGAGAAACCCTGTCTACAAAAATCAAAATAATAATAATAATAATAATAATAATAATAATAATAATAATAGATAAGGTTTGGGGAGATGGACCAGTGCTTAGGAGCACTCTGCTCTCATAGAGGACCTGGGTTTAGCTCCCAGACCATCTGTAACTACAGCTCCAAGGGATCAGACACCTCCGTGGGCACCAGGCCTACAATGTGAATGGACATATGGTCAAAAACAATTCTTTAAAATTTTAATATAAAAGTTTAGATTATGATCAAAGCAGGGCACTTGACATCAACCTTGGGCCTTCATGGCTGCCATAGAAACATATCCACACACAAAGAAATACACCACACATACACAAAACACACAGAGACACACAACAGAAATACATCACACATATACAAAACACACACATAGAAGCACAGCAGAAATACACCACACATACACAAAACACACACAGAGACACACAACAGAGACACACCACACACATACAAAACACACACAGAGACACACAACAGAAATACATCACACATATACAAAACACATACATACACACACAACAGAAATACACCACACATACAGAACACACAACAGAGATTCACCACACATATACAAAACACACAGAGACACACAACAGAGACACACCACACAGATACAAAATACACACATACACACACAGAAATATACCACACATATACAAAACGCACACATCCACACACAACAGAGATACACCACACATATACAAGACACACACACACACAAGTTCAAAAAGGAAATCAAATAGGGGCTGGAAAGATAGCTCAGCAGTTTAATGGATTTAGTGCTCTCGCAATGGACCAGGTTTAATTCCGAGAACCCACATGGTGGCTCACAACTGTCTGTAGCTCCAGTTCCTAGAGAGCTGATGCCTTCTTCAGGGACAATGCCTTCCAAGGAGACCAGGCATGATGAGGTACACATACATATATGCAGGCAAAACATTCACACACACACAAAAGTCTAAAAATAAAACAAAACAAAACAGTAAGCAGGATTAAGCAATAAAAGAAGGATTAACAATAGAATGGTCTTTTAATGGCTTTGATAAATATTTGTGTGAATCAGGTCAGGGTATAAAATATATTTTTTCTATCTAATAAAGACGATGGTGAAACAAACAAAGGAACCAAATTCTCTTAGACACCTAAGAGCTCTAATCTGTGTTACCAATAACCCTGACAGAAGACCTGTTGAGTAAGGGCGTGGGTGGGGCGGGAAGCTCACAGTTTGGGAACATATCAGAATGTTTGGAGTGGCAGCTGTCACTCAGAATAATCTCCAGATCACAAGCCTCTGGGCAGCTGCAAAGCGTGGTTCTTGGCAGCCGAGCCCCAGCTGTCCCCAGCAGCTGCCCTGCTCAGCAGTGGAGAAAGGGCAGCTACATGGCTCTGGGGCTGAGCACACTCCTGCCCTCATGATACTCCCTGGCCAGCTTGCCCCAGGCCATCTCTGCTAAAGTGGGGTCCAGGACTTGCGGGTCACTGCTGAGACCTGACACCGAGCCTCTGACTGTCAATCTCTTGACTGTTTCAAATGGTAGAAGAAAATGTCCTTGTCTGTGGGAAACAGACATTAAATATTCCGGATCAGGGAAGAGTGTCATGTTGACAAGTTATTTTCAAATGATTTGGGATACGCCTTTAAAAAATCTGCCTCTGCCTATTCTGCAACTTCATAATTGTTTCAAAATAAAAAAAAAATACTCCATAGATGCCATATATGTAAATATATGTAAATACATAATCATGTAATCAAATGTGTGTTATCCCATTAAGACAATAATGTGCCAGAATATTGGTATAGAGATGTTGTGACACAAGAATTAAAAAATCAAGCTAGGAAACCTTATCTCTTTTAAAACTTCCTTTCCATATTAGTTGTTTCTCATTGCTGTGGCCAAACACTTGACAAACAAGTTAGCGTAGGAAGGGATTTTTTGGTGTACAGTTGGAGGAGCTTGAGTCCAAAGGCACTGCAAGTGGAGGCACCATGGTGGCAGAAGAGTAAAGCTGAGGCCTCACGCCTTGGGACAGGAAGCAGAGAGCAGACAGGAAGCAGAGGACAGACAGGAAGCAGAGAGCAGACAGGAAGCAGAGAACAGACAGGAATCAGAGAGCAGGCAGGAAGCAGAGAACAGACAGGAAATAGGGCTGAACAATGAAACTTTAAGGCCCACCCCCCAGTGGCTATTCCCTTAAGGATTCTGTACATTCTACAATCTTCCAGAACAGGGCTGTCAGCTGGGGACCTGAGCCTTAAGGGACATTCCACAGTCAACCACAACACTTGTATACATGCGAAGGAAAGACTTATGAGGAAACCTACAGGAATGTTAATGGTTAATGTTAGCCAGGGAGACACCATTTTGTGAAGCTCTGCAATTGTAGTTGAACAGTAAAATTCCCAGAGCTAACGTAACTTGTTTGTCTAGGATCTCGGCCCTCCTCCCTCTATCTGCCTCAGTAACGGCTGCAGGAAAGATGCTTATAATCACCTGGCATTCTTTAATCCACCTCTTAATTTATTTCCTTAACTAACCATAACAACCAAACACAGGTTAAAAAAAGAAAAGAAAAAAAAAAAAAGGCTTTCATTCCCATTTCCCCTTTCCTGCTCCGTAACTGCCCCAGCCTAGTGTGCCGTAGTGTTTCCCTGGATGAACTCAGCAGCCCCTGCTACTGTCTCATGTCTTATGGCTAATCTTTCAGTTATCATTGACAAATATTGAGCTTATGAGTGCTCTTTGGTTTCTTGTTTTTGTGTTTGTTTGTTTGTTTCTCTTGGCTATTGGTATTTCCTAAATTTTCTTTCTTTCTCTTTCGCATATTTGAAAATATTTATTTTTTAAATGTAAATGGTTGCTTTGCTTGCGCAAATGTCTGTGTACTATGTGTGTGCCTGGTATGTGCGGAAGCCAGAAGAGGGTGTCAGGTCCCTTGGATTTGGAATTACAGTCAGTTGTAACCTACCATATCGGTACTGAGAATCGTACCCAGATCCTCTGGAAGAGCTCTTAGCCACTGAGCCATTTCTTCTAAATTTTCACAATAAGCCAGTATATAGCTAATTCGTGTGTGTGTGTGTGTGCGCGTGTGTGTGTGTGTGTGCGCGCGCGTGCGTGCGCACACTCTTGTGCATTCTTGGTGAATGCTGGGAATCAAACCCAGGGATTTGGTTTATCCAAATCAAAGGGACACTATGACCAAGACAACTTATAAAATGAAGTATTTAATTGGGGTTTTGCTTACAGTTCCATAGGGTTAGTCCATAATCATCATGGCAGGTAACATGGCAGCAGGTGGGCAGGCACGGGGCTGGAGCAGTAACTGAGAGTTCACGTCCAGACCCACAGTCAGAAGGCAGAGTGAGCCAGACTGGGCCTGGTATGTAAGAAGGCCATGCCCCAAATCCTTCCCAAACAGTTCCACCAACTGCGGATCAGATATTCAAACATATGCGCCTATGAGGGCGGTTCTCACTCAAACCACCACAGGAAGGGGGTACCCTACCCCTGCCAGACCATATGAGAAAGGAATCTTATCCATGGACGTTAAATTTTCAGGCCAATCGTGGATCCCAAAACTTTTTTTTTTTTTTTTCCTGGTGGGAGAAAAGAAATAATTCTATACTCCGGAGGGAAAAATATCTATCTATCTATCTATCTATCTATCTATCTATCTATCTATCTATCTATCCATCCATATTTCAGCTGAGTGTGTGCATGGTTTTTAATCCAAGCTCTCAGGAGGCATAGGTAGCTAGATTTCTGTGAGTTCATGGCCAACCAAGGCTACTCTGTCTCAAAACAAAAACAAAAACAAAAACAAAACAAAAAACAAAACAACAAAACAACAACAAAAAAAAAAACAAACACCAAAATACCAAAAAAACAAAAAACAAGTCCAAAAAAAAAAAAAAAACAGGAGAAAAAATTTAAAGGATAGATTTTTAGAGTTGAACTAATGCTTATTCATTCGTTTTAATTTATACAAGAAGATTCATGAGTTAGCCC